GCTCAACTTGATTGCCTGATTGACGTTGGCAATGTTGTACTGTAATTGAGTGAGCATTGCCATAAGGACCATGTGCAAAGCCAAATTAGAAGTACCTTCTGCCTGGGCAGGGGCTCGTCCTCACCATCAGGGGTCGTGCCCTCAGTCTCGCTCTCGCTCACCCCTTCTTCTTCCTTGGCGGAATGAGCGTGGCACTTTGTGCCTGCTGGAGGACGGCGACGAGCGGCAAAGCGGCGCTCATCATAGCACTTGGGGTCAGGTGACCAGCCTTTGTCAAGCATGGCATTACGTGCCGTGATCATGGCAGCCTCAAGATTCTTGATCACGGGCACGTAGACGTCCGTGTCGGCATTGCCCCACGATGTGAGGACAAAGATCTCGAGCCCACAGAAGCACTGTAGGAGAACCCTGTGGGATGATGTCAGCACACTAAAAAGTGAGAGAAAGATGGTGGTGTGCTTACTCGTAGGTCGGTGCAGCAACAACATGCTTTCCATCATGTAGTACACATGAAGTTGAGTTGAGGTGACGTGAGAACAATTTTGATTCCACCCACGTGTTGACGTTGATGTAGTCCACGTTTTGTGTCTCTCAAACCTTCATCAGTGTTGTAGCAATGCTGAGAAGGATGTCGGCGTAGGTGCAGTTGGTCTGCTGCGGGTTGATGGAGTCGGCCCAGGTGATGTTGTGTAGTGATCCTTGCAGACGAATGGGATGGATGGTTGAGCTCTTGAACTTTGGGACGGGGCGAGCCACTAACGCTGTGCGAGTGTGTGCCTTGTGTGTGAAGCATGTGATTGAGTGAAGCTATCTCTTTTTTGAAATATGTACAGGAGCCGTACCGTGTAGGTGGGCAAGTCCTCAACATGGATTCCGCCAAGACGTGCACGCTCCTGTCTGGCCGGTGGCACTGGCGGCTTGTTGAGCAGGTGCTGCAGAGCCTCCCACTGCTCCCTTGAAAGTGTAAATGTACCCTCTGGTGCGTCCATTCATGTAGTGTGGTGAAGTGCGTTATGTGGTCCATTGGGCTTCAGGTGTCGTGCGTTGTGGACATTGAAAGTCAGTTTCCAGACATGTTTTCACACCTTCTCTCCCACTTCCCTCTCACATTTCTGCCCTGCAGACCATATAC